GTCCACCATCTCCTTCTCTCCCTCTCAACCCTTGACTTCACTGCATTTGCAGACTGCGAGAGAAGAGATACCGAGCTTGGTGATATCGGATCCAAGACTCGACTTTTTGGGATTCAGACCTGACAACGAGGGGTTATTTGGGGTCGGTGACAAAGACTTGGTGTTAACGACACTCCCATCTTCCTCCCTCCTTTCGYCTGATCCTTACCTCTTCGTCTATGCATGTCTGGACYTGGCGCTTTCTTCCTGTGTGCAGCGCCAGGCTCCTTCACACCTGGTGAGGGGTACGATGCATGTTTGGTCTGAGTTCAACCATCGGYTGGACTAGCTATCAACATTCTAGCAGTCTGTTTCGCTACTTGCTACTACGTGTGTAAGGTCAGTCCTTGTCAGGTCAGTCTTGGTATCTAAGTCTTCCCTGCGCTATTCAGCACTTTTGTATGTATGAGAATGCACATTGTCTGTCGAGATTCTACTCTCACCGCATTGTCCATTTCAGTCCTTTTCGTCACATTGCAGTTCCTCGGTTATTACAAACATCACATATCTGTGCATGTAACATGTGGGGGGAAAAAGCCCCCCGGCGTCGAAATCGGACAACCCTCCCCCCCCTTCTGCGATGCGCTGCGGTTGCCCGGTGGCCAACCGGGCGAGACAACCGGCCAGGCGGCCCGGCCCCCCACCGGGGCGACGCCCAGGTCGCCGGGCGGCCCGGGGACCAGCCTAGTTTTTCAGTCATTTTCCAGTCCTTTATGTAGTCATTTCAGTCGTTCTTAAGTCATGTTTGGGTCATTTTCAGTCATTTTTCAATCATCTTTGTCTCGTTTTTAATGTCACGCAAGGAAACAACATGGGAGAACATGAAGTTTTGGAGCAGCAAGAACTCATTGAAAACCACGCATCGCATGAGTAGAGTCTGAACAGAAAGCAGAACGGACGAGGATGAGAGCACGCCAAAGCATGAGCAAACCGAACACTAAAGTCAATCGATCATGAACGCTTTTTTCACGCCTCCTTACAATAAACACAACAGCAAAGTAATGGCCAATTAAGCTATGATGTGTCTGGCCTATAGTGCTTCCTTACTCTAGCCTAGCAGGTAGCCTTCCCTGTCCACAAGCCTCTCGCCAGATGTCACTGAAGAATCTGATCACATCAGTGCACGCCCGCCGTACACCGGGTAAGTATCCGCCTGTTCCCACAATCACTCCTGTCCCGATGACCTCCCCTCCAACTCACCACCTTCTCCCTTGTACTGCGATGCCTCCCAGCTTTCATGGCTATCAGCACACATGCGCAGCAGCTCCTGCTATGCCCCATTCCCTGCCAGGGCGCTGACTGCTAGCTCTCTCGTAGGGCCGCCGCACGGCGCTGCCTGCTGCCCAAGGTGCTTCCCTTGCCCCAGCCTGCTCTTTTTCATCTTGACGGTGGGGGTCCGCTCTCTCTGATGGCTGGTGGGGACTGCCTCTGGCCTGTTTCTTACCTGGCCAGGTAGTTACCCTGATCGGGGCCCTAACTTTGGGCCTACCAGCAACCACCTGGGGTGGCCGGACAGAGGCCCTCAACCATTTGCAGCCCCGGCCTTCACTCAGGGCTGCAGTGGCCAGAGGTCCTTGCACTCAGGCGCGCAGTCATTTTTGTTGCATGTTTTTTTGTCGTTTTGTGTCATTTTCATTTTCCTTTGGTGCATAGTTGCGGCGCACCTCGGTGCGCGGATTTGCCCACGCGCTGCCCACCGCACCACAACGGAAAAATTAAAGGTCCAAAAAAAAAAAAAAAAAAAGTAGGGGTTTTCGTAATTTCCTACGGCCCCCCCCCCGGGCAAAAATGTTGAACTCGCCGCACGAGTTTGGAAACCGGCCGCGCTCTTGGCCCCAATTTTTTTTTTTTGGGCAAGGGCTGCCGAATTTCGGATTCTTGAAAAATAGAGCTCATTCCAGTTTTTTTACTTAACTAGCCTTCTCCCTCCCTTCTGCAAATCCCACACAGTGCTCGACAAATTTGCGAGAAGGGTGCTAATGCCCAAGAGCGTCCTGCCCCACACTGTCTCGCAGAAGTCACAAAAATTACGTGACAAAATATGTTTGGTAAGGCCAGCGGACCAGCAATAGATGCTGAAGATTGGCATTCAGGTCTGCATGTCGGCAGTTATGGGTTAGGATGAAGATGCCTGTAGCTTTCTCGTGTTTTTTCTTTTTGTTTTCTTATGAATACGTACAGTGGCCCAAGGGGCCTCTCTCCACGACTCACCATATGCACAAAAGACATAGCATATGCCGGTGTATGGTTCCATGTTTTAGCAGAAGCTTCATTCTACTAACGTTATATACATTTGGTGAGTGGTGGAGGGAGGCCCTGAGAATCACGTGGAGACATGAACAGGGTCTAGCGGAATTAGTGACCCATAACTGCCGAGCTACATATATTGGTGGTCTGTGTAATCCCACCTCTTTCATATATAACGCGGCTATCCTGCTTGTTGAAGCAACGGTCCTCAATGCCTCCACAATGTCCAAGTGTATTGTCGGAGCCATTTGAGTTACCTGCAGGGTCCCCTGAGTTGACGTAAAGGGGGCCCTTTGGTCTCTCTCTCTCTCTCTCTCTCTCTCTCTCTCTCTCTCTCTCTCTCTCTCTCTCTCTCTGGGCACAAATAAATGTTTAGTTTTTTTGTTTTTTTTTGGTGCACTTGGAGCACACTGCACTCACTGTAATTCCAGGGCACAGCGCACTGCACCGGGCCGTACCGCACTGCGCACTGGTGCGCCGCAACTATGCTTCGGTGTGAAATGTGATGCCGATGTGCCTTCTTTTTTTTTCTGAATTTTCAGTGTCATTTTCTTGGCGTTTTTATTTTTTTAAAAAGTCATTTTGTGTTGTCTCTGTGTCATCTTTCTGTCAGTTCTTCCCCTCTCACTCTTCTTGACATCTCGCTATCGTCTGCTCCCTGCTTGTGCATTTTGCGGGATGCAGACTCGTGCGCATTCTGGATGAAATGGGGGAGAAGACGGCGATCGTCTTCGTTAATCAGAAGAAGGCAGCAGACTCATTGGCCAAACATCTTGACAAGCTGGGCTATAAAACCACGACGCTTCATGGAGGCAAGACACAGGAGCAGCGTGAGGTAAAGTAAATTTAGTATAATCTCAAAACTGCGAAAAAACACCTTTTGTCTGTTTTGCAAAGAGCATGACATGTAGGGCAGAGGTGAGGTGACGAATGCCCCACATTCTCACCCTCTGCTGCGCAAATTTTTAAAATTGTTAAATTCAGAATTGCAAATTTAAGATTTTCCATTGATTTTAAAAAAAAAGAAAAAAGAACTAACAGCCACTAACTATGCTGGACTGGATGACATTTCTTTTTGACATTTCAGTGATTTCACCTTTCCAGATTTTAAAATGATTGATCAACTTGGGTGCTAAAGTTCTCTTTATGACATTTCGGATCTTTTTTTTTTTTTTTTTTTTTTTTTTCAGCGGCGTCGTACAGTCTCTCGTCTTCGACTCAGCATGTGCTACACACTAGTTCTTGTTGCCGCATTACCAACATAGTAACATATGTACTGCCACCGTCATTACCACATAGTCCACTCAGTCCGCAATTGCATCATTGGTTCTTGACCGTTCTTCTTGCCACACTAACACATAGTCACTTCGTCTGTGAGCTATACGCTGCTTCCTCGTGGCGCATTACCACAGAGTCGCTTGCTTACCACTGCGACGCATACTTGCAACCACACGAGCCACACATTCGTGCGGAGTTCCGTGCGGGGGGTGCCTGTGCGGAATCGTGCAGGTTTTTTATTTTTATTATTATTATTATTTTTTTTTTTTGGGAGGGGGAACGGGGGGCCGTATGACAGGAAGATGTTGATGTGGACGAGGAGGACAACGAGTCGTCGTCGTCGAGATGGGGGAGGAGAAGAGATGGACGGAGGGAAAAGAGGAAGGGCAGGAGGAGGACGAGTGGGAGGAGGAGGAGACATGGACGGCGAGGAAGGGGAGGACACGAGGAAGGGGAGGACACGAGGAAGGGAAGGAGACGAGGAGGCATGGAAGATGACGAAGTATGAGGAGGAGGAGGAGACAAGGAGGAAGAGGAAGGGCAAGAGGAGGAGGACAAACGGGAGGAGGATTAGGAGGAGACGAAAAGGAGAAGGGAGGAGGAGACATGGAGTATGAGGAAGGGGAGGAGGAGCAAGGTGAGGCAGTACTCCTGTAAAAAAAAAATTCATCTCGCTTATAATTTTGGCGGGGGCCCTCAAATGCACCGTTTCGACCCTGGCCTTTTTTTTTTTTTTTTNCGAAAAGGAGAAGGGAGGAGGAGACATGGAGGATGAGGAAGGGGAGGAGGAGCAAGGTGAGGCAGTACTCCTGTAAAAAAAAATTTCATCTCGCTTATAATTTTGGCGGGGGGCCTCAAACGCACCGTTTCGACCCTGGCCTTTTTTTTTTTTTTTTTCTGCGGGGGGTGACGGGTCGTTCTCCGCACACGTCGTGCGCCGCACGTAGGGAACCGCCCGCACGACGTGCGCTTGCATGTATGGTTTCAATGGATGAGAGCTCTCTGGATATTGCGGATAGCTTCCGTGTGTCGCTCTCTCGTTCTGTGTTCGTAACAGCTCCTAAGCAGAATTGCACGGCACAAAACAGGCTGATCACTGATGGTTGTTTGCTTATCTGAAAGGCTGTCACCCATGGGGAGAGAGAGAGAGAGAGAGAGAGAGAGAGAGAGAGAGAGAGAGAGAGAGAGAGAGAGAGAGAGAGAGAGAGAGAGCAATGGACAGGAAAAAGGGCCGACGTAGACAAGCAGGCAGAGGGGGGGGGGAGAATGGGAGAGCACCATGGAGAGAGGGAATTGCAAGGGAAAGGAACCTAAGGCAACCGAGTTGCGGCAAAAGCAGCAACTGTGCATCTTTGGAAAAGCTACACGAGTTAATTGACCGTGTGAAAAAACATTGAAAAGTTTCTTAAACTTTCTTTTTTTTCTTTTCTTTTTCTCGTTTTAGCCGAGTCTGAGGGCGTACTCACACAAGGACTTTCCTGGATGCATGTGATGGCAATTATGGTTGGACCTGGATGAATCTGACTGTAATCACGTCCAGAGCTTAGTAGAAAAAGTCCTTGTGTGAATATCCGCTGCGAACAATCGTAGGAGGAAATCCAAGTTGGCATTTTGTCCTCCAAGAAATTGGACCAATCAATACTGTCCACTTTTTTGAAGTTTTTTCACTTTTTTTTTAAAGTCTGTTCACTGTTCAGGATTTCTTTGCCCCTCCCCCACCCCCCATAAAAAAAAAAGTTATGTTCAGTAAAAAAAAATAAAAGGCAAAATTAGCCCGAGACTGATGCTTCCCAGAATGGATATGGAGGCAGGACCATAAGGACCTGTTTTTTAGGGGTTAAAAAAAAAAAAAAAAGTATTGCGTGAAGTTGGGTTTGCCGCCATCTGCACAAGCATTTAGATAATAAATTAAATAAAATAAATAATCTTCACTTTGCTCTCCGAAAAGAAGCCTCATACATTTTTTTGTCTCCTGGTCTTCGTGGTTTTGGTCTTTTTTTTTTTTTCCTTTTCCTTTTTCTTTTTTTTTCCGGATCTGTTCCCTTTCAGATAAGCTTGGATGGATTTAGGCAGAAGCGGTTCAACATCCTCGTGGCGACTGATGTGGCTGGCCGTGGCATTGACATTCCGGTTTGTACATTTCACACTCTACACTGACCAGAAAAGAGTTCTACTGCATATTTTCCGCATCAATTGGAAGACGTTTGTGGATGTATCTGATCGTAATGATGTCCATGTTCAAGCAAAAAATTATGGGTGGGGTGTGGTATTGGTGTTTTCCAGGTCGTACATTTCACACACTGCACCGCCGGGTAAGAAGAGATTTGTGGATGTATCAGATTGTAATTATGTTGAGGTTCATGCGAAAATCTGGGTGGGTGTGGCATTGACATTTTCTGGTTTGTTCATTCGCACCTTCAACCAGAAAATCTGCAAACATACTCCCCAGTCGGGCTTTTGAGAATGTATCTGATCGTATTTATGTCCAGGTTCGGCCGAAAGACTCGAACCATGCCCACTTGTTCAGGTTCTAACAGCTTAAACCAGCACTACCCCCGCCGGCCTAAATTTGGCTTTCCTGGCCTTACGGACCGGGTTCTTAGGGGGGACGGCGACCGGCAGGCCCAGGCAGGTCCGGTCTAAGGATATTCAAGTGCCAACTTTGGCGATTTTTCGCGCTCAGAAGAATTGACGAAAAAAATCTGAAAATTTTGAGATCTTGTAGGTTAGGTTGTGATCTTTCCAGGAAAAATATCAATATATTTTGATTTTTTTATTTTTGCTGTTTGTTTCGCAAATTGCGCTTTTTGAGTTCGTAGTTATGTGACAATATATATAGACCGTGAAATAAATGCTGCGCCGTTTCGTCACATTTTTCATCGTTGCCATTCTACCACGTGTGGGCCAACGGGAAAAGTACCCCAACTTCCGTTATTTGTTGCGCTCAGAAGGATGACGCAGCGACTCTAAAACTTTGAGGGTCCGTAGATTTTGTCGTGATCTTTATAGGAAAAATATAAAAAAGTATTAAAAAAAACTAATTTTAACCGTGAAATAAATCGCACGGGCGCATTTTCCAATTTTGCCACTCCGGCAGTTCCCCCCACTGTGCTACCGGTAGCCCTCATGGACCTGTACGGTAAAGGGTCTTCACCCAGTTCGCGCGACGATCGTAGACGTCAGGACTCGATCCCTAGACCTTCCCTAACCCGTGTACAGACGCCCGTTGACCCTGTGTGTTTTGAACCCTCGACCTGCCTATAGAAACATTTCTAAACGTTTTATGTATGTAGCTTGGGTTGTGTGGACTCGAACCATAGACCCCTGTCTATTAGCAGTCTTAGGGTCAGTCCGTAGGCCTAGCTCCACGTCTGTCAAAAGGTCAGTTAGTCGTAGTCTAGACAGTTCCAGAAGAGCTAACTTGACCTTTCGAAGTGCGAGGAGGCAGTCCGTTGATTTCTGAAAGGTCGAGCACCCCAAGTCAAACACCAAAGGGGCAAACGAAGGGGGAGTCCCAGTCCAGTCCGTTTTTTGCAGCAAGTACCAGAGTGGGACTGCACATCTTGAGGGCCTGGGAAATCGGCAGGCCCAGACCATCTTTTTTTTTTTTTTTTTTT